CACCCCCCCCCCCCCCCCCCCCCCCCCCCCAGATATCTGGGCATAGCTTGAAGATTAAAAGTACAAATTCTTCAGAGCCATTAAAGAGTGCATAGAAGAGAAAAGGGGGTGTTCAGCCTGATATTTCTTCCTTTTCTTGCAGCACAAAGTCAGTACAGAGTAAGAAAGGCATCAGAAAGCCTCTGCTGGGGCAAGATAAGGAACCAGCCCTAGGCTGGCTGTCCCTGCAAGTGTGGTGATGAGGACCAGTAAGGGCAGGCAGAGGCACTTTGTACTCACTCCAAAGCCATAGGAATTTCCATCTTCCAGAGCCTCTGTGAGTCTCCAGCCCTTGAGGCCTCTGTACCCAGCTTTGCCCTGTCCTCCAGAGTCACAGCCACGCACCTGGACCCCTTGGAGAACGTTAAGAAGACAGGCCATGGAATCTAAGTCTGCCGTGGAGGAGGATGTAAAGTGGCAAGGGTCCTCCTGAAGAGGCCATGGCAGTGAGACCTGGCTTCAGTTCTGTTTCCAAAGGACTTCTCCCAGATCTGAGGTGTACCCAAAAGGCAAGGGTCCCACAGAGGCTCCAAAATGAAGGCATTAGGATCTGGGCGCCTCTGCTGGCTCCCTGGTTAGGTCACCTGAGGGATTGCTGCTAACAGGAGTAGTTCAGAGACACGAGCTTTGGTTTTGTTAGGTTTATTTTAGGTTTGTTTTTATTGGGGTTTTGGTTCTTTTGCTGATGTTTTTGCCTCTGCCTCTACACAGTTTTGACTGATAACTGATTTGTGTCCCTGAATTAAAGTGGCTGACATTTGACTGCATCAAGCATATGTTTGTAAGCAGGGAGGGCCTTGGCCTGTAGCTGACACCTATCGTCTTGCCCTCGGATCCTATCCCCGTGATCTCTGAGGGGACAGCATGGAAGCCAGAGACCTCAGTGTAGTCCTTGGTTCTGGGGCAGTGTGTGGAATAGCAAACGAGACTGCCTGTTTACTGGCTTTTTATGGAGGCCCTTCCCCAAGCCAAAGTTTGGTTTGTTGTTGCTGTCATGACAGTTTTCATTGTATGTGCGTAACTATTTTAGTTAGGGGAAGGGATGGGCTGGGGCCTCTTGGAGTTCCAGAGAATGGGGCAGAGGGGTTTTTTTGTTTGTTTCTTTTTGAGGAAATTTACTGGCTAAAGGAACAGAAGTTTTGGGTCTTTGTTTAATAAGGGCCATTCTCACAAGAAGGCAAGCCTGTTCGTTCACCTGGTCGAGACTGGGCCAGTCCTTCGACAGTTGTATCCACAAAGGGTAGAAAGGGAGAAAGAGCAGAAGAAGGCTCCTTTTCTTTCTTCCTAGACAGAAATAAGGGTAGCCGTGGCAGAGTGAAGAAGGCAGTCCTTGAGGCTGGAGGGCCTTCGTGCACTTGAGCAGGTTCTGGCTGAGGCTTCCAAGGCCAGTTCTGCTTGCCAGCGCATCTCTCTGCTGCATGTACATGGACACTCTGCAGTGCCGCTTCCTCAAGCTCCTTTTCCAAGGAAGAATAGATGGAGTTGGCTTTTTATGCAAGGGTCTTTGGATTTCACAGTGAGCATTGAGAGTTGGGACTCTCCCAAGTGTCTGGACTCCATTGTATTTGCCTCACGGTAGGTCCTCAAGGCCACAGTGCTGGCATGTGGAACTGCTTTAGGAAGCAGGCCAGAGGAGCATTTTGTGACTCTGTTAGAGGATTCTGGGTGATGATTTCAAAAAGATGGCTGATGCTGAATCGCAGTGTGAGAAGGACATTTTCAGCTTTGCGGGCATCTGTAGCCTGGGCTTTCTATGCTGCGAATCTTACCTTAGAAGCTGGCCTCCTTTAAGGAGACTTGTAGTGAAAACATTGTCTGGCTGTCCCACTTTCAGCCCGGAGAGCTGCCTTAGGTCTTTTCTAGAATGTCTGTGTTACTTAGTTCGACCTCAGCCCAGATCCAGCACGTTACTCGTCATTTTCGAGGCTCTCAGGTTTCCCGGAACCTCCGTCGCCATCACCCTGCAGTGGTCGCAGTCTGAACTGAGCCCGCATGTTTCCCTCCTCTGGAAACCGCCTGGCTCTTGGCTCTTAGTGTAAAGAGAGCTCGTGGCTTTTCCTCCAACATGGACTCCTCAGGGGCTGAACTGTTTCGTGTAGGCTGTGCTTTCCTAGAGGGGCAGCCAGCAGGTCTATGACCACCTCCATCCTGTAACTAGTCATGTAGCTTCCAGACACAAGGGACTAGAAGCTGAGTGGAGCAACCCCAAGGATGTGCGAGAAGAGCATAGCGTGCCCCCTCCCTGTGCCAGGCAAACAAGGCCAGCCAAAGGCAGTCTGGCACACAGGTGTGTCAGGAGGGCAGGAAGCTGCCTGGCCCAGCCAGTTCCCCACTACTCGAAACTAGCATGGTAATGTCTGCAGAAGTGCAGATTTTTTTCCCCCAGATATTAGGAGGAAAGGGACTTTGGGGGGTGGGGAAGGGGTTGTGGTGTTTTGAAGCTTAAGTTACCTGTTTGCACTGTTTTCAGCTAGGACACGCTAGTGGGCACGGTGAGCATCTGAAGTAAACGTGTGTTTCATTTTGTCATGCTCTTGAGAATGTCTGACCATTTGTAGTATACACCAGTGACACTTGATTCTCTGTTGCATAAAACACTATATTTTTGGAAATGTTGCTGTCCGGAAGCCTCTTCCCACCTTCTCCCTCTCCTATGTACCTCCTTTATCCTTGCTTTCCTCATCAGCCAGGCAATTGCCATCCCCGAGCTAGAGCGGGAAACAGGGCCCCATCCCAAGCAGGCTCTGGGTGTCCTAAGCCAGCATGTGCCCTCTAGGTTCCTGAGTGCAGGACAGTCCCTTGGCAACTTTCCTTTTGAAAGGCTCACCAACTACCACAGGTTGCCGAACTCTTGAGCAAGGCACAGTGAGCCAGGGGGCACGGGTCCCTGAAGTACTGTGGTTGGCTGGAGAAGCCGTGTTCTTATGCAAGTTACCGAAACTGTAGCCAGTTACAGTGTACTCAGGAAAAACGGTAGATGAGTTCAGCCATGGTGGTGCTGGCTGGCAGGGATTGGTAACTGAGAACTGCTCATCAGCCAAAACTCAATCTTGCCTTGACAGACCTCCCGCCTAGGGGGCAGCCCTCTGCCTGGCAGTTCTGTACACGCCAGCACTGGGGGTACTGCATTCACCCTGGCAGGCAAAAAGGGAACAGCGATGCTCTTTCCTTCCCCTCCCCTTCCGGTTACCAATGCCAGATTCCCAGGGGCACTCGAGTTTTTGAGTTTTTCAGAGAATGCTTTTGGTTTGGTTTTTTCTGGGGACTGGCGAGCTTTAACGCTGTCTGCCCCCATCAGGACTCCTAGCTTGTATTTTTGTTCACAGTATTTTTGTGTGTGCGTGCTTGTTGGGCAGCCCATTTTGGCTGCATTATATATCGAGTGATGAACCGATCCTTCTTTCTTTTTCCCCTAAGGGACATGACTTTTCCCCTTCTGTCCCCATTCTGCTGGTGACTAGCTAGAGCCACCCTGGGGCTGACACGTGTGAAGTTAAGAGCTGCAGAGCCAACTAAGGCTCCAGGTGTTTGAGTCTCAATCTTTTCAAGGCTCAAAGGACCACAGAACCTCGCTCTTCTCCACATCCGCCTGCCTAGCACGTGCAGTTTCCCCGTGGCAGGACAGGTACCGCTAGGGAATGGGGGCATACGCGGATGCTTGTACAATTGACCACCTAGCCTTGTCTCCTTCCCTCCCGTCCTTTCCCAGAATCACCTCCTAGGACACCGGAGCTGCTTGCCCAGGGTCCTGTTTCCCTGCTAACTCCAGAGAAGCACCCAGGGCTTTGTGACAGTCTCTAACTCCCTCCCTCCCTCCCCTCCTCCTCCTCCTTAAGAATCATATTGTATAGTAGCTTTCAGACCATACAGTATTCATTGGTTACTCCTATTACTATCAAGTAGCTGGAATTGTGAAGGTTGGAGTAGTTAGATCTTTAGCTTTTATTCCTTATTTTTTGTATTACTCTCCATGTGTATAAATTATTGATCATGTTGCTGGCTTTTATAAACTCTAAGCAAAGGAAGGGCCCTGCCTTAGCCTTTGCAAATGGTAATGAAGCACTGTTTTTAAATAAAAGAGAGAAACACCACCTCTGGCAGTCTATGGATTCTTCTTTCTTCCCTGAACCCCAGGCTCCTAACAGGGAAAGAGGAAGAGACACCACAGCACTTCTTCCTGGAGGCTCCTGAGTGGCTAGGAGCCGGCA